GGAATTGTCGACATCTATCGGCAGGTATGTGCGTATGGACTTGTGTTTATAAAGGTATGTGCTTCTGCGAGCGTTGGGCGGATAATATCATCATGCATGCTCTGTCATCGAAATTTCAAACTAACTTATCTCGTTACTGCACCAGCGAGACCACCACCTTCCTCTTTTCACAGCAAATTGAATGTACAGATGGCTGCTGAGGGCGGTCACAGTCTCTGTGCCATGTGTCGGTGTCATACCGTCCGTGCTCGTTGCTGATGATCACTTGTTTCGGTAGTGCGATTTTAATGCAACATTACTGGCCTTAGGCAGTGTGTTGTCCATGACAATGCCCACGACCCTGTGTAGCTCGCCCTCTGTCACCTCTGCTGCCCACATCATGTGCATGTCCTTCAGCCACTGCGCACTCTTCATCTCACCAGAGGCACGGTGTACCTTGAAGAACTTGCTGGCAATAAGGAACAGCGCGATGACGTTGATCAGTGGGCTGCCACGGGCCACAGCACGCCTGCGCCACCCGTCAGTGGCCAGCTGTATCAGAGGCTGCTGCTTAAAGTCTGCTTGTCAGAGGCGGTTACCCTCTGGTACTCTGCATCCAGCAATGAGCCAGCAAGGTCTTTGCGCGTGGGGGGCAGCAGCCCCACCACCGCCAGAGCCGCCTTCAGGTCCGTGTGGTCTGACTCGGAGGACAGGAAGCTGTGGCCGCTCTTGTACATCCAGCAGCCTGGGCAAAGCTCTCTGTAACCAGCTGCTGCTGAGATGCTGTGGTGAAGAAGCCATGGGTAGTGTGCTGCCGCTGACGGACTTGAAGGCTGCTGCTGTCGCTGGCACCGCCGCTGCTGCTCCCACCGCCGCTGCTGCCGCCGCCGCCCCGGGGCCCACCACCGCTGTTGCTGCCCCCACGGCCAGGTGGCGCCGCGAGAGACGCATCTGATTGAGTGGCTGCCGAAGCGGCTGCAGCAAGCGCCCGCCTGTGCTTGCACGCCCGCTCAGTGAGATGCGTCTTGGCGATCTGTGACGGGTTGAGGGCCTTGAAGAGATTCTCGCACATGATGCACTTAAGCTGCACGTCCGCCACCACACCCTCCACCACCAACTCCTCGATATCGAACTCATCCCACCACTGCTGAGTGCACTTGCGCTTCAGGCCCCTCAAGTGCGACGCGAAGGCTCTGAGCGTGTACAATATGCTCTGAAACTTGACAATTCTGGTGGCATACGGCTTGGCTGGCGTGGGAGCAGGCGGCGCGCCGCCGCCACCCCCTATGGCCTCCATGCTCAATATGTTTGCGACAGGCATAAGCTTCTTGGACGATTTTATTAAGCCGTAGATTACGTTGTTTTCCGTACGCCGTATCAATACGCATACGCTTTGTGCCAACCCTACTTGCTCAGTGCGTGCATCATTAAGCAACGAAATCCTGGCCACCACATGCATCGACTTTCATTCAAGACCAACAGTGCAACAGCAAAGATGTAGGTTGATGGCATTGTTGGGAACATGAACGCTATGCAAGATGTGTGGTGACCGTGGCTGTAACACTGAGCTAAAAATCTCAAGCTCGTGCACACCTAGCAGGGTAGCTGTCGCCTTCTGGGGTGCCAGGAAACCACATTCCCCGCCCTTGGCTCGGTCCCTCAAACCACCCGTAGGCTACGGATTGCGATTATTATGGTATCGCCAACTCGACCATGCCAGCCCATATAAGAATCACGATGGTTCTCTTTGAAGTGACCAACCAGACTGGCTGCTGGAGGCGAACAGTTCTATTTTGTGGATCGGTTCATTGAAGTTCTCATACCGTTACGGGGAATGTCAAGTATCTAATGGGTAGCCGTCTGGGCACAAAGGAAAGAACCCTGCCTGGAACAGAACTTGAACCTGGCCGTTCAACAACAAAGCTCGTAGGAGAACCAACTGTGGTGACCCTGGCTTTACCAGTGAGCGACAAAGCCTGTGCACAGGGTCCTACTATTAGCTGTACCCTTCTGCGGTGCCATGATATCAAGGTGTTTAAGGCTGGTGTGCTGTCGTTGTGCGGGGCTGAGGCATCTGGGTATCTGGATCGCTGCCGCAGCTGCTTTTGCGAGGAGCAGCGCTTTCTGCTCATACAACATGTGGCTGGCACGGGCCTGACCTGCTTTCTGACCCGATATTATTCAGCCCAGGTCTCTGTTTCATGGTAATCAAATCTGCACGTGTTGCCGTGCGTAGACCAAGTTCACACATGAGTATGGTGAAACATTCATGAGATGACAATGTAGTATAGCTTGTTCCTGTGAAACATGTGTGCTTACCGGCCTCAAGACACTAGTCCCTGTCATAATTGTATCCCACAACTAGGCAGTGTAGCATGTAGCGAATGCGTCCGCGCTCCGCGTCATATTCGCCAACTTGAAATCATGATGATGAACTGTTGCATGAGCTGACTGCAGATTGAGGTATATTAGGCAGACAGACAAGCAATGCATCAAGACAACTATTTGTGCATCTACGATGAGCCATATGAGGTACATTGTTGAGGTTGAAGTGTGACATGGCTGTAGGATTCAGGTCGCGTTGGAGATCTGCGACAAACGACAAACCAGTGCCGGCATGCCAAGGCCCCGATGCCTTCTTTAATTGGCAAGCAGCCCATATATCACGTGCCATTAATTAGAGTGTGCACTGAGGCGATAACGTGCATCTCGGAAATCGTGATCGTACAGCTGAATTCGCATTCATGTGCTGCGGCTATGTGGGCGTGGAAGGGCTCAACAGAAAAAAGGCTCGATGGCTTGCTCACTCGCTGTGTGAGCTTGCAGCTACTGAGCACTGATCACGGCGTGGTGTAGAAAACTAGCGTATATCATCGATGATTCATCATAAATGGTCTAGTAGTATATATCAAGACGGAGCAAGCTAATCTAGCAACATCAGCGAGGATACAGTCAGCCGCGTGAGCTTGACCAGGCAGCGGCGGGCACGTGTCGGCAAGCGGTGCGCATTGAAAAAGCGGTGCACATCAGGGGCAGCAGCAGTAGCCAGCAGCTCGCAGAGACAGCTTCCACCTCACGTGTTCCGCCAACACAGAAGTGCATGCACGTCGCCATCTGAGTCAAGGGCTGCGACGCCCTCTGAACGCCCACTGCGCAAGCCACACATGGACCGCTTGCCGTCTCTAACCTGCGCCACTGACGCATGTGATGCATACAGTGTAGCAACAGACGCTGTGGCGCGCTCGCTTTAACGCCGCGCAAATGAATACCATCTCGTCAGTGGAGCACTTGTGCCCTTGACAACTTGCTCACCCAAAGTGCCACCAAGTTGATTTCTTGACACCGCGCAGAGTGCCAGCCAGCGGAAGCAATATGTCCTCCTCACCTTCGTGTTGCACATCATCTTGACCAGGCATGATTGCAGAGCACCAGAGGCAGAAGAGAGTTCCAACTTGTGTGGATGCAAAGGAAGTGAGGTATTCACAGGATGCACAAGACACAAGGTGGTGGAATTGCTTCCCTACAGCACGGGGCACTAGAACTTGCCAGAACACGCAAGAACGTGCCAGAACTTGCAAGGGAAACCTAGGAAACTTCTGCAGAATACAATGACCCTTCTACATATTCCAACAGAGCGAGAGCTCAGCTCCAGAAAAGCGCGCTGAGGGGGGGCAGGGGGGCTATTGCTTGCGCTGCGCGTCCTTGCGCCAAAAGGCGCAAGGACACCAAAAGGCGCAAGGACACGCTTGGCTCACAAAACGGCACAGACGTATGAACGCTCAAAACGCTCTTCGTAACAAGCTACAGGCGTGGCTCTTGACGGAACTCACAAAACAAATGAGGTGCGCCGAAGCTGGCTGCTGGCATTGCAGTCACAGACCCATGCGCTATTGCAAAGAGAGAGGCGGGGGAGGCTAGGGCTGTCTTGTGCATGAACAGATTTCGAGGTGGCGGCATGCACGGCTGCGGTGCCGGCCGCCGTGCGCTGCGCGCCGCATTCCGCCTCCCCAAGCATACCACGTTCGCGTGCTCGCACGCGTGGCGCGTGAGCGACTGCAGCGGTCAGGTGCTCAGCCGGCAGCGGCGCAGCACACGCGCAGCTACCTACCTACCTACTTGGGTATGCCGCACAGGGCGCCCGTCCAGCCGCTTGCGCACACGCAGACGTATATGTTGGCGTCGCCGGTGTAGGGAAACAAGGCGCACCAGCCGCCGTGTTTGCAGGGGTTCGGGTCGCACGACGTCGGCCGCGCCTTGGGCAAGCAGTCCGTGATCCAGCCGTACTTGCTGGGCATGCGCACGCACGCCTCAGACGGCTTACAGCACTTGTGGTTGGTCTCGAAGTCGTTGCTGTCGTAGTCATAGAACGAGCGGCCGCACGGCGCCGCGTCGGGCGCGCACGTGATGCCGCAGAGCTTGCCGGCGTAGTTGCCGATCTCCGCGCAGTGGCACTGCACCTGCGGGCCGTTGCAGCCCCGCGCGTTGGCGGTGTAGGAGAGGGTGCAGCGTGCGCTGTGCTTGCATGGCTGCAGGGGGGCACAAGGGTAGGGGGGAGGGGGGGGGGGGAGGGACATGCGTGGCAAGCACGGACCTCTGCTGGCCTGGTGTGAGGTGTGAGGGCTGCGGAGGCGCGAAAGGGCGCATGACGCTACCTTCGACGATGTTAAACGCATGAACACACATCCGCACGCCATGCTGTTGAAATGACGCAATTGCGGAAGTGCTCTGCCGGGAGAACAGTGCAGAGGCACGACCTTATACTGCATGGTTGGTGCTAGCAGCAGATGCGCTGGAAGGCGGTGCTGCACGCGCAGCACGCGCATCCCGACACATCAATGCTCTGAATCACAAATCATTTGGCACACGGAGCCACTGGCACGAGCAGCGGTCAGCGTAGTACTCCTACGCATCGCATTTCCAGCGCGCCTCCACGGCCACTGCGGAGCATGCATGCCGAGCACTGAAGGACGCGCTACTTGCAGCCGGAGTAAGCACTTCGAAGTCAAAATTATGAAAATAATTCAGGACGGCAGGATTTGAACCTGCGACACCCTGCTCCCAAAGCAGATGCGCTACCAAGCTGCGCTACGTCCCGTTTTTTACACTGATGTAGGCACGCACAACAATGCTTCGTGGGGGGTCATCTGCCGCCGAGCTACGCCGCATCGCTGCTCAGCAGTACACCGGCGTAGGGGCTCTTACATTGGGGCTGCACGGATCGGGGGAGGGGTGCAGGAGGCAGAACGACTTGGAAGGGTTCTTGACGTTGCAGGACACGTTGACGTCGGAGGGGAACTGGTAGCAGTTCTCGTCATTGGTGGGCAGGAGCTGCGCTAGTTCTTTTGCTCCATCCTTGCACTGCTGTGCGGTGTGGCTGCGAGAGGTGCAGGTGCGCGGGCGGCGAGGGCGGCGCAAGGCGGTCAATGCGCTACAGAATTGAAGAGCGATGCAGTATCCTTCGCATACATGTACATAGTAGTTCGTACACAGAAGTATGCATTCGCCCACGTCCTCAAATGCGCCCTTGTCAGAACGGTCGGGCCTCCTGCTGTATCAAGTGCTCTCGCATAATAAGTTAGCATGGCAGCAGCAATAAGGTAGTGAAGCGAGTTTGGGTGGTGCGTATGATCTAATCAGGGGGCGTAGAATCTATAAGTGCGATGCAGTAGGATACTGGCAATGACTCGAAAACGATAGACATTCAGGCAGGTGTTGGACCGGCTGCACCAAGTTGCTTTGCTGTAGATAAAAAACATTGGCTGCAAACCAATGCCATGCAAGATCAACAAGACAGTGATGCAGTATCCATACGACTTACGCCGTATGGATACTGCATCACTGTCTTGTCGATAGGACAGCGCGAAGCATACAGGGCGGTGGTAATACTCACCCTTGAGGGCAGCACACGTCGAGAGGACAGGTACCGGCACCAAACTGCTGCTGCACGGTGACCTTGGTGCCCGTCCCGCAGGTCGCCGCTGCTGCCTCTGCCAGCACACAAGGACACACGTCGATGCATGTTTGATCGAGTTTCCGCTGCTCTGACGATGGTGAGTAACGCAGGCTCGCAGAAATCCGGCACAGGCGCCTCACCTTCAGCAACTGCAAGGTAAAGCACAGCAAGCACAGGCGCCTTCATTGTCCCTTTCATCAAGATCATTGCTGAGTTTACTGCTCTCAGTGTCTGAGGCCTCGCGATCGGCAATTTCTCAAAGACCCGGAACTTGAAGTGCCTGCGGGTGGGCCGGACGGCCCTAACAGTACAGGGAGTGCCTCGCCAGGACTAGCTGGTGATTCAGAATCAGATGTGATGGAACCGGCATTCGCCTATCACCTGGCCAAGGTGTTCACGACGCTGCTTGTTGAGCCCGAACTGCTGCCGGAGCAATCGCAACGGCTTCTCCGCGCCGCGGCCCTCTCAGGCATAGGACAGAAGCGGCGTCCGATCGCCTGCTCCAGTGTCTGGCGCAGACTCCTCGGGTCCACAGCGGCACGGAGTGTCAAGGGCAAGATATCGGGGCTGCTGGCCTCCATGTCGCAGTTTGGCGTAGGATACCGGTCTGGCGTCGAGCATGTGGCAGCGCGCGCGCGCGTGTGGCACGAGCTGTATGGCACCACTATCCAACTGGACTGTGAGAACGCATTTAACAGTGTGGATCGCGCCGCCATTGTGCGGGGGCTTATGCTCTTCTGTCCGGAGCTGCTCCCGCACTTTGAGTCCGTATACTGTGGTGACACTGCCCCAGAGATGCGAGTGGAGGTGAACGGTGAAGCTCGCATTATCTGCTCCCACCTAGGGTGCCAGCAAGGGGACCCTCTAGGGCCGCTGTACTTTGCAGTGGCAGCGGCCTTCCTACTCTTCTACCCTGATGGAGTGAATGCGACGCCCGGCAGTATGCCGGCCTACGGCCACAGCACAGCGGAACCGCCAGCCCCGCACTGCGCTTTCCTGGATGACCTCAACGTGCTGCAAGCTGCCTACTTCGACGATGCAGCGGCCGCTGGGGTGGCAGAGGTGATCCGCCGGCTGGCGGCAGGGGGCCTACGCGTTCGACCAGACAAGTCGCTGGCCATCGCCATGCGCGGCACAGTGTTTGATGAAGCGGCCAGAGCACGCCTGCGCGCCCTTGACATACCGTTTGTGGACACCACCATGCCAGAATCCAGTCAGGGCTTTACGTCGGTCGGGGTACCGGTAGGGCACCCAGCCTATGTGCACGCTGCCATGAGCAAGCATCTGGTCGACGCAGGGACATGGCGATTGTCGTGGCAGCTAGCTGGAATGGCGCGGCATCACCTACAGGCAGCACAGTTCATTCTACGCAGGTCACTGACGAAGCGCATGGGCTTCTTAGCTCGGGTCGTTGACACGGCTTTGAGTGAGACATGGTTGCACGCGTTTGACGGGTTCTGTGCATGGACGCTCGAATGCATGCTGCATCTGCACGGCTGCTCTACCGCGGCAGCCATGAAGTCACACCTGCTGGCCGCCTGCACTGCTGGTGACAATGAGGAAGCCAGCAGTGGCAGCGTGCTGGTATTGCCGCGCTTGGGCCCGCCAGAACTCACGGACATCGCAGTGCCACTGCGGGCGTCACGGTTGCCGGAGCGACGAGGCGGTCTGGGCATGCCGCTTTTGGGGCTACTGGCACCAGCCGCATACACGGCCCAGGCATGCACAACACTGAGGCCGGCAATAATTCATGCCACTGTGGCAGCAGGGGCCCTGAGGCTCGGCACTGACGAACACGGCGCAGTCACCTGGTTCGCGCAGCACTCATGCGCAATACGCGAGGACCAGGGACTGCCGCCAATCATCGAGGCCGTGCGACGCTCTACGCGAGCGCTGACAGCTGATGGCGGCGAAAAATCACGCACAGCTGTGGCCGAGCAGCTCCCAGCATCGTTGCTACGGTGGGCAGCAGATACGACGGCCGCAGCGTCGATGCTCCCCACTGCGTTGCAAGCGATCTACGCCGCAACTGCCGTCACGGAGACAGTGACCACTGAGCCAGCCCCACACACCCACGGCATTGTGCCTGGCGCCGAGGCGGCCGCTGCGGCGGCGACCGTACCTGGCCCTCAAGCCGCTGCCGCGGCTGCCCCTTCCACGCCCGCTAAAACACAAACTAGCGCGGAAGAAAGCAGCTGCAGCGGCGGGCAGGAGGACGACCACGACGACTGGGAGGCCTATGCTGACGAGATCTGCAGGAAGGTAGTGCCCCGCCGCCGGCGCGGTCACTTCACGCACGGACTACAAGCCGGCCTTTCAAATGTTCTTTGACGTCAATACGAGGATTGCCTAGTGGAGGACCTAGAGGCTGCCTCGGCTGGTGCCGTGGGCAAGCCGACGCAGGCTGCACCTATTGGTGACTCGCGCGACACCAGCCGCCGCCGCCAACAGGCTAGCGCACGGGTCCTGGCGCAGCTGCGCAGCCAGCGTGCGTCCGGGGCAATGGCGTGGATGAGCGTGCCACCCACTGCCAATGACCGCCCGGGTGCGGCGCCCATGTCCAGTATGGCAGCAGCCACGATGATTTTGATTGCGATCTTCATAGACGGGTGGGGCATACAGGGCGAGGTGTGCCCATGGCGGTGCAGTGATGTGAGCCCCACCTCCACGCATGCGATCAGCTGCCCCAGCCAGCACATACGGGGGCACAACGCGACACACACTGCCCAAAAGCGGTGCCTGCAGCGCATCTTGAGACAGCACCATGTCTCTATTGTCCGCAATGAGGACGCTAGCATCTTCAAGGTACCGGGGTATCGGGCGGACACAGTCATTGACCCAGGGTGTCTGCACTTTAGCAGTGCATACCGTAACAAGGGAATAGTGCTAGACACAAGTGTGCGCGCGCCCACAGCGAGCTCGTACCTGACAGGCAAAACAAATGCCTCGAACACGGACGGCTATGCTGCTGGGGTGGGGGAGGACGCGAAGGTCAAGCACCACACCGGCACCTTGACGTCATCTTGGGCTTTTGTGCCATTCGTGCAGGAGTCGTACGGACGGCTGGGCAAGCAGACAAGCCTTTTTGTTAAGGAGTTGGCAATGCACTCAGCACTGTGCTCAGGGGGGGGGAAGGCAGATGTGTTACGCAAGGCCGGGTTAGCTAAGCGTCAGATCCTCATTGAGCTGAGCATATCGCTGGCGCGGGAGTTGGCGGAGCGCGTCATGGCGTACACACGTGGAGCGCAAATGCTGGGCTGTGTTGCGGCGCCGGTATCCAAGCTCCTAGGGCACAGCGCAGACTAGGCTGCTGCGTTGACGCAAGCTTTTCGATTGCATAGGCAACCCGGCCTCCCTTGGGCCTTTATAAATACAAGTCCATACGTACAGGGACAACGGAGTTTTGCCCCTCGCCGGGCGCTGAGCATCAGCGGCATAAGCTTTGCCCTTTTGGTGTACGTTTAGTCTAGCTCCTGCATACACGGCGTACGAAATGATGTCACGAGGCGCAGCAATAACCTTGATGCAAGCGCTCCATAGACGCACATGCGTAGTAGCTCATGACCCATTGCCACAGGTGCTGCCACGCATGTTGCGCGACGCGACTGTCGCAGTGCAACATCGTCGTCTGCTGCGCGTGAGTACAGGATCCTTTTTCAAGCTCCAGACAAGCAACGCCGATCGCGTTGGGTGCAGCCGCAGCAACCCAACATCTACACTGTTTGTACGCTTGCGCGCTTCACAGCCAAGCGACTTGTGGTTGCTCACGGGCAAATTTCACCGCAACAAGCGTAATAATCATACCTCTCTCACGAGAGAAAGCGCACCTCACAGCCAGGGACTGAGAAATCACCAGAGCCACATGACACTCAACACGTCGCTGAGCAGATGAGGGCTCGCATGTGTGAACTGGAGCTGGAACACACATGCGTGAACTATCCCCGTTCCAGCTGCAGTTCACGTCACCACTTCTGCATTCTGTGCTGCGCCTTGCAAAACGCGCTGCATGTGCCGCATGCACGCACGGCCCAGCGAGCAATGCTCTGCAACTGAACTCCGCAAGCATGCAGCAGGATTGTTAATCCCATGGTCCCGTGGGAGTAAGGGAGTTACCAGGAGAAAGGGAGTGAGCAGGATCTGAA